ACTTGAACTTTTTAAAGCAATGACTACCTATAGCTCTGATAATGGAAGACAGAGAATGGTGGCACCTTAAAGACTGGCTCAGAGAGGCATAAGCTTTCATAGGCAACAACCTATTTTATCATGCTATAATGGACTTGCGGAAAACAGAGGTTTTAAAAAAAATGGAATTTGAAACTTGCTTTTTGCAAGTCCATTCATCACAAATGACAAAGTGCTACCCTGACTTGCCTTCTGCTTGATTTCAAACTAGCACAGCTAACTCCCTTTCTTTGATGGCAGAAATCCAGTTAGGAATCTGATCCTCTGCTCTCTGATGGGATAGCATATATCCTCTAATCCCATGCTTCATGCTTTAGTTTGGGCAGCATATCAAATATTCTGTAAGGTCTGTCAAAATTACTATGACAGTAAAGGATTAGGTAGCAATGCTTAATACATTTTCAACATTATAATTTACAACTGGAACTGTATTCCAGGATGGCATGTGTTAAGAGACTTTTTTTGTACTCTTCTAAGAGGATTAATGTATAAATGTTGTACAATAACCTGCTGTTTACTGTGTCACCATCGGTTTTTCTGTATTCTTGAGAAATGTTTGTTTGCTGGCCCAGCACACACAGTAGCCTTGCTAGGACAGGGATAAGTGGCAGCCATGTTTATTCTTTTCATTTTCAGGGAAAGATGGTACAATTTTCACCCTGACTCTAGCTCTCTTATTACTGGCAAAAGACTAGAATGGTACACAGGAGACTTAAAACCCTTTATCTAGCTAAAGGATGGTTTCACCAGCACAGGATCTACAGTAGACTATGCAAGGCTGCCTAAAGAAGATCTGTTGTAAGCTGTAGCAAATGTCTTGGCCTCAAGGGTGTTTGTGATGCTATCTGGTGGCCCAGTGACTCCTGTCCTGCTCTGGCTCCTTGGGTTGTATCTTCCCTTTACTTACTCACATGCCACACCTTGGTGGAAATTATGGTATTGAAAGAGGTTACCCCAGAGTGAGCTTCAGTCCATCAGTTGTCTTGTGTTCTATGTGCCCGCCTTGCCTTCAGGGACTAAATCACCTTAGGGGCATTCATCATGGCCTCTGTCCTCCCCTGTAACCATATCATGCTGCACAGATGGTACTTGGTATCACTTTGGAGGAGCCCCCTGGCCCCAACACAAAACTTGGCTGCCTCAGCCCTCAAAACTTTGTTGTGGCTTCAGCCTTCCTGGCTTTGGCCCATCAGCCTAGGTGAACTGCCTCAGACCTTGACTTCTGGCCTCCAGTCCCATCTTGCTCTTCTCAGGCTGCTCAGCTCCCTGTGGTCCCTGACCCAGGCAAGTGTGCTATCTTGCGTCCCACCCCACTGGGGTTCCTGACCCAAGCTGGGCTGTTCTTGTGCCACTCAGCCCATCAAGGTCTCTGACCATTGCTGGGCTCTATTCTGATGGCTCTCAGGTGCCCCATGGCCTCCATAGCCACAATTCAATCCTCTCGTCTTAAACATAATACAGATATAAGCAAACCACTTCCCGAACTGAATTTTACCCCCTGTCTAGGTCAGTGTCCCATCAAAAGCCGCACTTCCCCTTTAGCTGCTTTTTCTAGCTCCCCTGGGTAGCATGGGTGTCTGTGGGCCTGTTTCCTGAAGCCCCGTTCTCCCAGGAGCTCCTTTCCCCAAAGCATGCAGGGCCATACTGCCTTGTTTTGTCTCAGAGCTCTAGGTTTTTATGCTTCTAAGCCCCTTCCCTTCTGGACATGCACATGCAGAGGTTTCCACTTTTCTGAATGGTCAGCTTGTGCTCCCATGCTGCAGCCCCATGCAGCATTCTTGGCCTGCTCCACTCTTTACTTAAAGTGAGAGGTGCGTCGGGCTCCCTGTCACATAAAATCTGCTGTAGGAGCTAAATTGTGAATGTCAGAGGTAGAGCATACATCACTGCAGTATTTAAGGCAGCCTGAGAAAATTTGACATTATTTAGGCAGCCCAGGTGTGTCCATGATTATCTGGAGGCCTCTCCTGTCCCCAAAGCTTACTTGAAATGGGAGGGCACAAGAGTGGTATAACTTGGTGCATGTACGTGAGGCGATACTGCACAGTAGTGTTGGTGGGCACTAACCATGATGCGCTGCTACTGCACAGTACTAACAAACTACTGTGCAGTAGCATCTGAAAAAAAAATGTGCGGGGATGGTACTGTGCAGTTCCACCAGTTACTGCACAGTCATTTAGTACTTGCTTATGCAAGTTCTAAGTTGTTACTGTGAAGTCCACCACTCAAATATATGTGACCACTATCACCTTTAACTCTGCCACAAGGTTGGCTAAGCATCAAAAATGAGTTGAGAGTAATATGTTGATTGTGAATAAAGCCCCAAGCTATTAAGAAATAGAAATTTTGATAATCAAACTTTTGTATTTAAACATTTCCTAAACATACTGTTTTTGCAGGATTCAAACCAATGTGGGTTGGCTATGCAATACCTTACTAAGATAGATACTGTCCATTTGTCGCTTGAAATCCATACAGTCTAGTATCTTTTTAATGGTATCAGCAATTTAGCATTAATGATTCACACATCCTCCAAGGAATATAAAATAGGAGTTTAAAATATAATGGGAGCCAACCTTGATAGTCTTTAACAAGTGCTGGGAAACATTATACAGCAGGGGTGGGCAATTCAGCTGGAGGGCTGCTTAATACATTCTGATGAACTGTCAAGGCCTGCATGAGTAGCCCTGCCCCTTGACAGTTGCCCTGCCCCTGGTCACCATAGTGGGACTGGAAGTTCCACTCCCTGACCTTTGCCACCAGAAGTACTCCTTTTGGGAGGGAGGGTGCTGCAATCTTGA